GGGGAGCAGTCCTGTTTGTTGTCCGTGTTCCTCGGAACAGCACTCAACACTGGAGGTGGCTGGTGTCCCATCCTGACCACGGCGATGAAGGGAAGTGTGGTCAGGGAATGATTACCACCTCCCCAACCCCCCCAGTTCAACAGAAGACCCTCCTTTTCCTTAGTCATCTCCAGCTCTCCAGAGCCTGGAATGCAGACAATCCTGAGCCTCAGTCCGCACGCCCAGCTCAACACCAGCCGGGTCACAGTCTCAGCCCCGTTCCTCTCTGTCACTGTCTGCCTCACAGTCAGGGGTCCGGTCCTGGGCTTGCTAGCATCTCCTCTCTGACACGGAAGATCTCTGAGGATCGGGGCTTGGTTTGTTTTGTCCTTAGTCAGGTCTCCAGAGCCTAGCACACCGCCTGCGCGCACAGGGCGCTGGGTAAGTGTTTGCTGATGAAATGAAGAAGGGATTGGATGGAAGTCACTGGGTGAGTGAGTCATGGAGCCTTTCCATAAACAGAGAACTTGAATGAGAGGATGGGTGAGTGAGTGAATGATTCAGTGAGTGAATGGGTGAGCAGGAAGGAATGATGCAGGATGGACGGTGTTGAGTTATGAATGAGTGAGTAGTAAGTGAATGAGAGAATGAGGCGGCCAGCGTGGGCAGCAGGGCACGCAGGTCCAATCCACCTACTTGAGGGTCTCCAGGGACTTCAGCTGAGGGAAGGTGGCAGAGAGTTGGGCGACACCCTTGTCCCCGATTTTGTTCTCACTCAGAGAGTCCAGGCTGAAAGTAGAATCAGACAGGGCCATCAGCCAGGGTCCCCTACCCTGACATGGACCCTTCCGCCCCGCTATCCAAGGTCACATGGTAGGCTGATCATTAGGAGGCCAGGGACCAGCTTCTAGCTCATATGGGCGAACTCCCCACTTCGTTTTAGAAGGTCCTGGAACGTGGGCAACTTCCTGAAACTGTTGGCGTCTCAATGACTTCTGCAGTGAAGGGGGCTGTGCCCCCTTGACCCCTGGTGGGGGCAGGCAAGGAGGCCACAGAAGGAGCGGGGCCAAACACTCATTTCTGAGGATTCCGTCTGCTGTCCCTGCCCTGCTGTGGGGTCATGTAGTGACTCTTGTCCCACTGAGGAAGCAGCAGGGACAGAGAAAAAGAAGGGGACAGGGAGAGGGGCTTCAGGGGGGGGCAAGGGCAGACGAGGGTCTATACTCACTCCAGGTGCTGGAGGGAGGAAAACGCTGTGAGGACCGCCACGAGTGTGGGGAACGCCTGGGGGCCCGAGACAGGACCCAACCTAGGAAACAAGGAGCAGAGGTGAGACCCTGAAACAGAGCCCCTCAAACCCACCCCAGGGTGGGTAGAGACTAGGACACAGTAGCCAGGCTGGTCCCTGGCCCCGCTCCTGCCCTGTCTCCTCAGGTGGGACCCCTGTCCCTTCTGTTCTGGGCAAGTTTCACAAATCCCTGCCCCATGGGGCCATTTGGACGCTCAGCTGGGGGCTCTCTGGTCTTCACCTCTGGGAGGTGACCCGGTTCTCACTCTCCCTACCCTGCTGTGGCACCAAACCAAAAAATCCAAACTCACAGCCACGGAGTCAATGCTGGCTCACAGAGACCCTATAGAACTGCCCCTGTGGGTTTCCCAGACAAAGCCCTATCTTTCTCCCGAGGAGCCGCTGGTGGTTTGGAACTGCTGACCTTGCGGTTAGCAGCTGCCTCCAAATGGCTACCTGAGGACTGACAAGGGTTGTGGAGAGAGACAGCTTGCTCATTTCACTGGCAAGAAGGGCTGGCCCGCCACTGACGGCCCTTGGGTCACTTCCAACTCACAGCCCCTCTGCACGACAGAGCAGGCCTGCCCCACGGGTTTTCTAAACCACCCTGTCACGGGGACAGAGGCCGGGTCTTCCTCCTGCAGAGCTCCGGGGTGGGTTCAGACCGACCACTTTTCTGATAGCAGCGGGTGCTTAACCATGTGCACCACCAGGACCCCCTCAGGGAATGCCTGCGATGCTTCTCTGAGGTCTGAGTTCTTCTTACCCCCATTTTACAAACGAGGAAATCGAGGCCCAGAGAGGTTAATTAACCTCACAAGGTCACACGGCCTGAATCAACACTTGGGCCTGTCTTCAAGGGAGTGACTAAAAAAAATAAAAGAACAGAGGACCGTTTGCTTTTGCTTTTTAAAATCCGGCTATGAGTGAGGGAAGAGTCCTGAGTGTACCGTGGACTGACTGCCCAAAGAACAAACGTAACTGTCTTGGAAGAAGCAGAGGCAGCATGCTCTTTAAAGGCAAGGCTGGTGAGACTCTGTCTGGTGTGCTCTGGACATGTGGTCAGGGGAGACCAGTCCCTGGAGGAGGACATCCTGCTTGGTAAAGCAGAGGGGCAGCGGAAGAGAGGCAGGCCCTCGGCGAGATGGGCTGACACAGTGGCTGTGACCGTGGGCTCACACACAGCCAGGACGGAGAGGCTGGTGCTGGCCGGGCAGTGGTTGGGCCTCTTGGCCGTGGGGTCAGTATGCGTCAGAACCTACTCCACAGCACACAGTGGAGGGCGGATAGGAGAAGACAACATTAAAGAGCAGGCGGAAGTAAGGGTGGGGCCAGGCCGATGTCTGGGAAGGGCTCTGAGCAAAGGCCCTGCAGCAGGATGTGCCGGGTGGGGACACGCCACCCACCTGGAGCCCCCAGGGAGCACAGATGCGCTTGCCTCTGAGTAGCAGAGCGGCCTAACTGGCTGGGTGGGTTAGGCCTTCCGGGTGCCCGGCACAGGGGTGCCCAGCAGAGCGGTGCCAAAGGAGACCCCCCAAATAGCCATTGCCTTTCTTCCTCCGAACCTTCTTGACTTCCGGCCTCGGCCCAGCTCTGGCTGTCCCCCCACCGCTGCTGTCCCCCCAGCGAAGTTCTGACCTGTAACGAGGGGCTTTTTGTGCTGAGAACTCACAGCCTGAAGGAGGGATGGTTTTCACCCATTTCCTCTTTTCAGCAACATTTTTACCTCTGGGCCAAAAAAGGCACTTTGTTCAAAACAAGAGACGCCTGAGTTCTTCTGGGGCTTTGGGGCGGGGAGGAGGGCAGTGAGCAGGGCAAGCTGACAGCTCCTGGGCCACCAGCTAGGTGACCTTGAGCCTCCTGGGCCTCAGCTTTTCTCTCTGTCCCCTGGGCGAGGGCATGGCTGCCTCCCCAAGCAGAGCAAGAGGTGACTGAGGTTCTATACACGTAGCTGTACATCTACTGTCAGGAGAGGCCGTCCCCGGAGAAGGACATCGAGCTTGGTAAAGCAGAGGGGCAGGGAAGAGAGGAAGGCGCTCGATAAGATGGATGGACACAGTGGCTGCCGCGATGGGCTCAAGCACGGGACCAATTGTGACGCAGGACTGGGCAGTGTTTCCTTCTGTTGTGCAGACAGGGTTGCTATGAGTCAGAAAGGCACCTAACAACAGCATCTGTGTCTATCTACCTACGATAATAGAACCTCCCCACGAACGTTTTGGATGCTCATACATACAATGGAACCTGTGCGAAAGGTCCCCTGGCCCTTCCGGGTCTCCCGCGTGCTCCATTTGGACAGAGCAGGCCTCGCTAGCTCTTTTCCCTCATTCATTTTAGCGGGCAACACCTGAGTTGTCCTTCTTGGGCGGGTGTGCTCCTTCCACAGGCTCTGGCTTCCACAGGTGTGCTGCACATGTATGTATGTTTGCTTACTTTGTATGCATGTATGTGCACATACCGGTGGGGCAGCAGAAAAGAGGAAGACCGTGGACAAGATGGATTGACACAGTAGCTTCATCAAAGGCCTCAAACACAGGAACAAGTGTGGCGATGGCCCAGGACCAGGCAATGTTTCCTTTTGTTGGACTTGGGGTTGGAACCTATTTGATAGCACCTGACAGCAGCAACGTGTGTGTGTCTGTGTGTGTGTCTAAAAGTTGCGTGTGTATGCAAACACACTCATCTCTTGAGGATCTTACACCCATGCAGACTCAGGACCTCATTCTAACTTTGTAGTGTCTTCTGTTAGGGGTCGGTTGCCCAGGTGTTTTGACCAGAGACAATCTCCAGGCCTCAGTGTCTGCATCTGTACAATGGGGTGATGAAGCAATGCTCTGGAGCTGGATCCAGAGAGGGAGGGAGAGGAAAGTGCTCTGCAGGTGGTTGGGGCAGACAGACCTAAATGTGACAGCAACCAGTGCCATCCCCCAGGCTCTTGTGCCCAAAGACTACCCCTCGGCAGACACCCAGGCACAGCAGGGTTGCCAAGCACCAGGTGAGGCCTGTTTATGTCACCCTGGCTGCGTGAGGGCAGCCAACTGTTCAGTCTGCCCTAGGGGGTTCCTGGGGCTTGGGGCTTTCAGGACTAAACCCTCCGGTCTCAGGTCTCAGGTCTCAGCAGGGTGGCTTGTCACTCTAGGTACCCATCCGAATCTCATGGGAAACCTTCACACTGGCTGCACTTCCTCAGTCTGAGCTCCTGGGTGGGATGGGGTCTGAGAGTTTGCATAATTAAAGCCCCGTGACTGTGATGTGCAACCAGGGTTGAAACTCAAGGCCTGGGTGGGCAGACACCTGGGCTCTGAGGGTGGAGGAGCCCTGGTGACTGGGCGGCTACAGCACTCAACGGAAAGTCACAAGTTGACTGTCCGGACCCATCAGCCCCTCTTCGGGAGAAAGATGTGGCAGTCCGCTTCTGTGAACATGACAGAGTCCTTTGGAAACCCTATGAGGCAGTTCTGTCCTATGGGGTCACTATGAGTCGGAATCGACTTGGTGGCAGCGGGCAGTAGGCTGGTCAGCGCTGTTGTGCCCCTCTGCAGAGTCCAACCCATGGCCTTCCATTGCCACTCCAGCACCGATTGGTTCCTCCTGCCTCTCAACTCTCAGTGTTTGTTTACTTGCTTCTTTTTTCCCTTTTTGCTTTGTCTACCAGGAAACTCAGTGCTAACTTCTTGGTTACTTTACACAGGCAAAGGACATCTGGGTGTGAGCCAGCTTGGCGCGGGGGTGTTGTGCACTCCTGGTGTCGTGACCAGACCAGGGAAAAGCTCCTGCGTGTGGCCCTGGCTGTGTCCTCCTCCGGAACATCCTGGCAGCGCTTATGTCTGGAAGATGGCGACACCGGGAAGCTGTCCCGTTGCTCCTCGGATGGCCTCCCCGCTGCCTCACTCTGACTCCCCTCTCAATCTTCCGTCCCTCAGGTCTGAGCTCCGGAGCCCTCATGGGACCTGCCACTCATCACGGCAGGTGGCAACTGTCTCTTTACACTAGACTGAGGGCTTCCAGAAATGAGTCCTGGTGGCGCCGCAGTGGTTAGCTGCTGGGCTGCAATCCACAAGGTCAGCAGTTGGAAACCTGCAGCTGCTCTGCAGGAGCAAGACAGGGCTCTCTGCTCCTCTGAAGGGGCGTCTCAGAGACTCCCAGGGGCAGTTCTAACCTGACCCGAGGGTCGCATGGGTTGGAATCGACTGGATGAGCACAGGAGTCTTGGTCACTTGGGGTGCTCTCACGGAGCAGGTGCTCTCACGGAGCAGGTGCTCAATGCTGCCCTTGTGAGGTGCCGCCAAGTCGGTTCTGACCCACAGCAGCCCTACGGCCAGCAGAACGGAACCCCGCTTGGCCCTGCACCATCGTCACAATGGCTTCTTCTGTCAGCCTGTGTTGCAACCAGCAAATCCACAGTGCTCACTATGTGTCTGTAAGTAGTGAGTCAATAAGAAAATGCATGTGTTAACCCGCAAATCGGCCGGGCAGTGTCTCCCTGTGGCGCTCCGGCCAGGTTCAGCCCAGCTGGGCGGCAGCCAGCAGTTAAGGGTGATCTCCAGGACCCACCTCCCTCCGGCAGTCCCCCCTCTGCTTACGCAAACTCCAGCTTCTTTAGGTGCCGGACAGCAGGAAGGTCGGAAGCGACGTCTTCCGAGGCACTTGCGGTCCTAGAGAAGAGGGGGTATTGGGGAAGGGCAGGGTCTGCACCTGCAGCGGAGCCCCTACCTCTCTGCCCTGTGGCCTAGTGGGTCACGGGTTGGACTGCTAACCACAGGTCGGTAGTTCCAACCCATCAGCTGTCTCGTGGGAGAAAGACAAGGCTTTCTGCTCCCCTAAAGATGTACAGCCTCAGAAGCCCACAGGGCCAATTCCACTCTGTCCAGGGGGTCAGATTGGACCCCGTGCCAGCGAGTCTTTTTGTTGTTTGCTAAAAAGAATACTCGCAGACAAAGACCTTCTCGAGGGAGGCCTGCATGTACGTGGGAAAAGGTCTTGGAGTAGACACTTACAGTGCGTCCCCCAGACAATACGCGAACCAAACTCACTGCCACAGAGTCAAAGCCGACTCACAAGAACCCTGCAGCACAGGGTAGAACTGTCCCTGGGCGTCTGGGGCGGTTCCTCTGTGTGGCGAGCAGACAGCGCGTGGGCAGTGCTCACATGTGTGGAGGAGGAGGGGCGGCAGAGCTCTGTGCCCACGCTCCTCTGCTCTTGGGGTCTGTAGAGTAGGGGCAGAGCTGCCACTGGCTTCCTCGCAGCTGGCCAGAGGTGTCCCTCTGTCACTAGATGCAGAAGGTGCCTCACTTCCCCGAGCAGAGAGAGCTTCTCTCTGGTTCATCTGTGTCTCCCTGCCCCCGCCAAAGTCCTAAGCTCCATCCGTGGGAGAGGGACAGTTTGGAAATCGAGGGCCTGGAAAGCAGGAGGCCATTCTAAAGTCAGGTGGGCTTCGAGCCAGTGGCCGGCGGTGTCCTCACGTGGAAGGACCCACAGGGACGAGCACACGGGAAAGGCCGCTTGAAGGCAGAGGCCACAGGGCTGCAGCTGCGAGCCACAGCCGCCAGAACTAGAGAGAGCTGGGGCTGGCCAAGGAGGGTACCCCTCGGATGCGCCCCACCCTGGCCTTCAGGGAGGGATGGCCCTGCTGCCCCCGAATCCAGACCCCCACCCTTCAAGGTTGTGAGTTGAAGCCTTGTTGGCTTTTTGGCAGGCTGGTAGGCTGTTAAGTGGTGTTTGTGATGGTCGCTCGCAGACACACAGAGCGCTCCCCTCAACCCGTCCCCCACCCCCACCCCTAGGTTCTGGCTAAGGCACTAGGTGGAGGATGGTGAGTTCCCATAAGGACAAAGCTTTAAGTTCTTGGGGCTCTGCCTAGGTGGCCCACTGCAGGGAGGGGTTCTGGGTCACCCTTGCCCAAGCAGGCACAGATTGCCCGTGACAAACTTGACAGTGGGTCCCACACTTCCTCAGCCTGCATGGCTCCCACCCCTCTCCCCCTCACCTCTGGAGCCGCACGAGGTTGGCCAGGCCCTCTACATCCTTCAGGGATTCCGCCTTGAACGGATCGATGGTGAACTTCTCCTCTACCACCTGCAGCAGCCTGGCTTCCCCACGCTGCTGCAGGGACTCCCACAGCCCCACTGTGTCACTCAGCGCGGCCCTGTGGAGGAGGACCGCAGACCCTCAGGAGCCAGGACTGGGCTAGACCCCACCTGCCAGCAGGCAGCTCCAGGAAGGGCTCTCCCTTTCTCTGCAGATGCTGCCCCTCCCTGCTGCAGGAAGCCAGCTACGACCAGTCCTGATTGGGTCCGTCGTTAGCTCTTGCACTGGCTGTATTTCCCTCTGTACTCTGGTTGCCAGCAAGCTCGGTGATCAGTTCTTGGTGGAATCACTGCATTTGTGTAGACCCTCTAGCTTGGGGAACGTCTGTCTGGGGGAAGGCAGCAGGGAAGGGTTCTGCGAAGCGATCCTGCAGAGACTGGTGGGGGTTAGGTGGCATTGAATCAGTCAGTCTGACTCTCAGAGACGCTGTGCACCACAGAATAGTGCCTGGTCCTGTGCCATCTGCACCATGATTGTTACGCTTGAGCCCATTGTTTCGGTCACTGTGAACATCCGCCTCTGGTGGCATATGGGCAAGGCAGTGGGCTGCTAACCACCAAGTCTGCAGTTTGAACCCGCCAGTTGCACCATGGGAGAAAGGTGAAGTTTTCTGTTCTTGTAAAGAGGTAAAGCCTTCGACCCCCACAGGGGCAGTCCTACCCTGTCCTCTAGGGCCACTCTGAGTCGGACGGGCTAGACGGCAGTGTGATCGAGTGCGGACAGGAGGAGGACGTAAATGAGACAAATGCAGGACTTGAGATTCCTCCAGAGGGGAGGTGGGAAGCACTGGAAGTGTCTGGTCAGACGGGGTCTGGGAAGACTGGGAAGCAGACTGAATGAAGGAGAAGGGTGGAGGCAGGGCGGGGAGGCTGTGGCTTCCTCAAAGTACTGGAGATGGTAGCTTCTCAGAGGACAGAGAGAAGGCAATGGATTTGAATCCAGATCAGTCTTATGTAGCCATGGCCTAGTGCCTGGCACATAAGCCATGAAGGAGGAAGAGGAAGAGAAGGAGGAGGCGGAGGAGGAGGAGGAGGAGGAGGAGGAGGAGGAACCTAGTCCCTAGCTGATTCCCACTCATGGCGATCCCAGGTGCTAGGTTTTCCTGGCAGTGACCAGTGGCGAGGCCTGAACAAGTTCACACCTCTAGCCTTTAGGTTAGTATACGGGCCTGTGCAAACCATTTGTACAGCTCAGGGAACTCCTGGCCCAGAGCAGGACCTCAAAGTATTTGCTGCTGCCCTTTCTGGCTATGTGACCTTATGCAATCGCCTGTCCCCCTCTGAGCCTCAGCTTCCCCCTTTTAAACCCAGGGCAAGTCCATTCTGCCTCCCCCTGGCTGCTGCTGCCACCACACTTCCAAAGAGACACTGCAGAGCAAGTGCTGGGTACAGCAGAGAGACCACAGCAGATGCCCAGCCCTAAGGAGACCCCCGTCCCTGCCCCACCTGAAGCAGGACACACAGCTGAGTCCCACGAGGCTCCCCAGTCCAGCGGGATCAATGCCAGTGTTGCGGAGGTCTAGTGAGAAGTCACGGCCAGCCGCCTCCAAAGCCCTGCCCAGCACGTGGGCATCTGGGGGCGTCAGCCGCGTGCCCAGGAAGGAGAGGTGGGCCGGGAGTCCCTGCAGCACCTGCTGCCAGAGCTTGGCGTCACCAGCCTCGTGGAGACAATGCAGCAGTTCCAGCAGCCGGCTGGCCCGCAGTGACCCCGGCTGCAGCCGCTGCAGGTAGCGTGAGAGTACCTTGCGCTTCTTGTCTGATGGATTGGCGGCTGCTGGCCCCGCCAGGGCACCCAGGCCGCTGGCTGCTGGCTGGAAGAGCAGGCCAGCCAGGAAGCGGGGCACGCCCTCCAGCCAGTTGTCGTAGGGCCGCTTCTTGCGCGGGGTCAACGCCAAATACTGTGGCAGCTCCTTGTCCTTGACGTCACTGCTCAGTGCCAGCCACAGGGCACCCAGGAAGCAGTGTAGCGGGAAGCTGGAGAAGGCCAGCTCCGGCACCTCAGCCCCAGGGTAGGTTCGAAGCAGGCCATTGGCCAGGGCCCAGGCCTCAACCTCCGCCGACGGGAGCTGAGCCTTGCCCAGGGTGCTGCGGTGCCCACGGCCCAGCTCCCAGGCCAACTGGGCCAGTGCCATGAGGGCGCCCGGGGGGCTGTCGCGGGCGGCTGTGCCTAGCAGGGCCACGAAGAGGCCTGTGAGTGTGGAGGGCAGCTGGGCCTCTGGGTCCTGCCCCAGCAGAGCCTCGCAGAGCTGGCTCACGGCGTGGCACAGTGCGGGGCTGTGGCAGTGGCTGAGCAGGAAGGGCTGGCGGCGCAGCAGGGCCAGGGCTCGTGTGCAGTGCTCAGCCGAACGCGCAAAGTGGCGCTTGACGCAGTCCTCGGCCTGCCCCTGGGAAAAGCTGGCCAGCTCAAACAGCCGGTCGGCTTTGGCTAGGCCTTGTGCCAGGCGGCCCCGCGGCCGGGCGGTCAACAGCAGCGTGCAGCCCTGGAGCAGCCTGCGCTGGCAGAGGCCGGCCAGCAGCCCCCGGAGGGAGCAGGGCTCGGGGGGCGGAGGGCCACAGCCTGTATGCAGGAGACCATCTTGGGCTTCCAGCTCCTCGAAGCCATCCAAGATGAGCAGGAGGCGGTCGGGCCACCTCAAGATGTGACGGAAGACCTCACTGTCTGCCGGGGGCGGCTGTGGGCCCACGGAGAAAAGCAGGTCTCGCAGGCGGTACATGGCCCCTGGGCGGTCCAGGCGGTGGCGAGGCACGTAGAAGACCAAATCATACTGCGGGAGCTGGCCACAGGCCCAGGCCCGGCACACGGCCCGGGCCCAGCAACTCTTGCCCTGGCCTGCCTTGCCCAGCACGGCAGTCACCTGCGTCTCATTTCGTGGCCGTTGAAGGGCACCGGTGGCCAACAGGACCTCAGCCAGACCCTCGCGGACCAGCCGCCGGGCTGTCCAGTCCTGGGTGGCCAGCTCCCTCTCTTGGCCCTTGCTGCTGTTCCTCTCCAGCCGCGCCCACACGAGCTCCACCTCCACCAGGGTGCCATCCGGGTCTCCGGGCTCCGCCAGGTACTGGTCCCTCAGCGAGCGGCAGTACCGCTCCACTGCCTCTGCAGAGGACAAGAGGGCAGTGCTGCGTGAGAGGGCGGCCACCAGAGGACCGCCCTGCCCTGGCACCTGCTGCTTCTCCAAGCCTTCTGCTGCCCTTCTCCCCGTCACATGCTGACAGTCTCATGCAGTCACCCCACATCCACTGTCACCTTCCCCCACCGCCCCCATGTCCGCAGCACTGATGGCGCGGTGGGTAAACGTTGGCGAGCTAACAGAACACCAGCAGTCGGAACCCACCGGCCTCTCTGTCGGCGAGAGACGAAGCCGCCTGGCTTCTGCCGAGACTTGCTGTCTCAGACACCGCATGGGGCAGCTCGGCCTTGCCCTGTAAAGTCACTCCAGATTGAAATCAATTTCATGGTCATGGTTGGGTTCTATTTTGGGGTAGCACCCTGTTGGTAAGCACTCAGTTGCCAAGTATATGGGCGGGCGCTGGAACCCCCCAACTGCTCTGTGGGTGCAGGACGAGGCTGTCTGCGTCTGTAAAGAGTCACAGCCTTGGAAACCGGAAGGGGCCATTCTGCTCTGGCCCACGGGGTTGCTCTAAGTCAGACTTGGCTCAAAGACAGTGGATTTTGTCCTTCCTTGTGGCTCTCTCCACTCCACTCCCTTTAGTTGCCCAGTAAGAGTGATGTCATCTTAAGCAAGCTCCATGCCTCACAATCTGTCTTCAGCTGCGAAGTAGGAGAGTAATGACACTGTGTTCATCCTGCCGTTTGTTGGCCGATTATTTAATATAGCAACAGTGCTCAGGGGCACCTGGGCATTGCAAAGGGTGAATATTCCACTACTCCTGAAAGGTTGGAAGTGCAAGTCTATACGGAGGTACCTTGGAAGAAAGGCCTGGCGGTTTTGTTCCAGAATAAACGCCAGCCATTGACATGGCACAGTTGTACCCTGATACACACGGAGTTGCCACCAGGCAGAACCAACTCAATAGCAACTCTTTGCTTCAGGGCTGCTCAGTGGTACCAGAGTCTCTGGTGGCACAGAGGGTTAAGCACTCAACTCACGAGGAAGCCAAAAGTTTGCACCCACCTGGAAGCCTGGCAATTTGCTTCTGAAAAGTCTCCACCTTGCAAACTATGGAATAGGCTCTACTCTGCACACACAGGGTTGCCATGAAGTGGAGTCTATTTCACAGCATGAACAACAACAACAAAAGCCGTCCCAGGGACAGAGGAAGCATCGAGAGCTGCAACCATTCTCTTATTCACTCCTCCATCCCCACTCTCCAGGGCTCCCACCCTCACCTGCCTCCTTCACTCAGCACCCACTCTGCCCTCGCTCAGTTTCTCAGCGTCACAAACGAGATGCCAACACCTAGCCTGTGCTGGTTGAGGAAGAGGTCCTCAACGACCATTCCCTAAACGACTGATGGGTGTGTGATAGAAATCTTTACAACAGCAACAAGAGTAGCTGCTGAAGCGGATGGTGGACAATCAAAACCTTAGGGGGTTCGTTTTTCAGTTTGGAGGTTTAGGGTCATGGTTTCATGGGACATCCCAGTTTGTTGGCCTAATAATATGCTGAATGCCTCTGTTCTACCCCCTGGTTCAAAGTACAGTGCCTAGGGCCTTAAAAAGCTTGCAAGAGGCCATCTGAGACACAGCCAGTAATCTCTCTTCACCTGGAGCAACGAGGAAGGGTGGCCAGGACGGGGAGAAAGGAATGCAATGTATGACGAGCGCTCTCCACGAGCAGCCGCCATCCTGTGCCAAGAGACCAGAAGACTGGACGGTGCCCGGCCACCACTACTGAGCATTTGACAGAAGATTCTATAACAGAATCCTGATAAAAAGGGAGGAATACAGAAGAGAATGTCAAGTTCCCATGAACTTCAGGCTCCCTGGAGTCATGATGGTTAGATGAACTCTCGAAAGTTTTGCCCTACAATAAACTTTAAACCAAAAATATCCCCTAAAGTCTTCTTAAAATTAAATACATTTCAGTTTATCTAGTAAAGAATGTCTGCTTTGAGCACTATGCTCTTTTAAGAACCATCTGTATGGGATCAAATGAACAGAAGCAAACTTAATTGATGTTGCTGGGAATTTAAGTTGACAAGGGAGGAACAACTCAGAAAAGTGGGGTGAGCATGGTTACACACCCAACGAAAACCGATGTTATAAGCCCACGTGGAAACTGTCAACTTGGCGTATGTGGCATGAAGTGAAGTGACTATTCAATTGGCGAATGTGCCCTGAAGAGAAATTACTCTTCTCTCCACATTCTTTGTAACTCCCGCCAAATGACTGTACGGCAGCATGCAAATAGGGTGAGTGGGACTCATATGAGGGGATTGGCCAGGGCTGCCTTCTTCTGGAATAAAGGGAGCCATCTCAGAAGCAGGGGGGAGAATCCACGGCCTTCAGGAAAGAGGACCCAGGAGCGGAGCACAGCTGAGGCTCTTGGGAGAAGAAGAGTTAGAGACTGCAAAGGCCGTGAGACAGACAGAGCTTCCTGGCCTGTGGGAAGGGTCAAACGGAGTGACTTCGGGGCAGTAGGCTTGCAGAGGGGGGTGTCCTTTGGGCACTTTTCAGCGCTAGCAGAGCTTTGTAACACACTTGCCCAAGAAAGGCAGAGGCCAAGGGGACCACATTTCTGAGGGGTCTAGGGTCAGAGAGAGCCATCCATACATGCCAGCATGACAGAGAAGAGGTGCTATAGGCAAAAGAAATGCAGCCTTCACATTTCTGATCCCGATTTATAACCTGGTAATGGCCCCAGTAAACCCCGATAATGGTGAGTATTGCTAGTGAGGTCCGTGTGGCGATTGCCGTGGACTGTCGAACTCAGCAGAGAATAGAGTTCGGTGAGAGGGACAGTTGGTATCAGATTAGGTGCTGAAGGTTGGAGCGTGGAGGCCTGTCTAACTGCTGCTCAGAGGAATCATCCTTGGGAAGATAGGGAGTTATATTCTCCTTCCCCCTGTGTAGCTAGAGGAGGCCAGATGGGGCCCCTACACCATTTCTGCAGAATGTTTTATTGTATAATAATGAACAACCAAATAAATACATGAAAAATTAAAATAAATAGAAAAAAGAACAATAAAAACATGATAAAAAAAACAAACCATGATGGAATCAATGGTCCAGTGGTGTAGTAAACAGATGAGTTGCTGAGTGAGTGGAGGGGCGAGCTACAAAGAAGGGCTGAGTGAAGAGTGGGTGAAAGCTAGACTGGGCTTTGACTTGGGGCTCCTGCCCACGGGAGCTGGGGGGTCATGCCAGCACTCACCAGGCCATTTGGGGGTCTTGCTGGAGAACTCGAGATCAGCTGGGCTTTGGGTCGTGGACAGTTCATCCTCTAGACACGAAGAAACTTGTATCAGAGTTCGAGTGAGGGCGCCCCAGGATGCCCTCTGTCTGGGGTGTTCAGAGACTCTGTCTGAGCTTCGGGAACCAGCCCGACCAAGGAAGACTGGGGAGCTGAGCCCCTCAAGATGGAGGTTTCAGGGGGGCAGCGTTAAGGTGGATCTGCTCAGTAAAGTCATCGTAACACACGCACATGTGTATGTCTATGAAGACACACACAAGGGGGCTTCAAAAAGCTTGTGGGGAAAACATCAATGATTTATTCCATTAACTTCTGGAAGTTCATGTTACCAACTGATACACAGAACTTCCTGTGTGTTCTACATATATGCATATGTATATATGCGTATCTGTATCTATATGTGTAGATCTATCATAAACTTTGCCAGGCTAACCATTTTCAGTTTGCCCACATCAGTGGCATTCATTACATCCACAAGCTGTGCAACTATCTGTTCCCAGGTGTCTCTCATCACCCCAAAGAGAAGCTCAGTACCCTTCAACACTAATGCCCTTTCTGCTCTCCCTGTCCCCAGTCATCACGACTGCACCTGGGTCTCTGTGCGGCTCCCTATTCGAGAGAGTCCACGTAAGTGGAGCCACGCTCTCTGTCCTGTTGTCTCTGACGTATTCTACCCGGCAGAATGTTTGCAAGGCTCACCCATGCCCCCGAGGCATCAGGACGTCCTTTATCTTGGTGGAGGAACAATATTCCATTCTGGGTAAAGACCGCTTTTCCCCTTTGCATTATCTGCTGATGGGCACTTGGGTTGTTTCCATCTGTACTTTTGAAGACTGCACTCGTGTCTTTAAAATGGCAATTTCTAGATTTCCAGATTATCCTGATACACTGGATCTGGCCACTCTGGGTCTGCCTTCCTGCAGGCCACCAAGCAGCAGAGGCTGGTGACCCTCCTGGGGGGATGTGGGGGTGGGGCAGAGTCTCCCAATCTCCTCCAGTTCCCCTGGAGACTCCCTTTGCCTTGTTTTACCTCCATACCAGGGATTCAAATTGGCTCAGCCTGGCTCAGACGAAATCACGCTGGAATGGACCCAAATTTTTAAAATGTGGATGAATCATCACAGGTTAAGCCCTGCTAGAAACATACTTATCCTCGTAGAAAATAGGGGCAGCATGAGCATCGCCTAGCAACCAAATCTCTTGGCCAGATAAGTTGAAAACAGCGGAGACCAGCTCAAAGATGGCAGCGAACCATACAACACCCCAAGTGTGTCGCTCGCCATGGTCCCATCTCCAGCATCAGTGTCCTGAAGGGGCTCATTACACCTCCCCCAAGCTGCCCATTCCAGGGACTTGTCACTTTCCCCACTCTGATTAGTGTTTCTGATCACCCACATTTTAAAAATGTGGGTCTGTTTCAATCCTGCCGCACTGGCCATGAAGGAACTGGTTGGAAGCCCTGCCTCAAATTGAGCCTTCCCGTGCCGGCAGGCAGTGGTTTATGGATCTTGGGGCACACTCCTGCTACCAGCAACTCCCACAGGCCCCATGGGACTTACCTGTCCTATTTGTACGGCAAGTCAGGGCTGCTTCCGGCATGCTGGGCAGGTCAGTAGCCGATGGGGCAAAAGGGCTGGTGGAGCCAGGTTGGTCTGGGGACTTGGGGAGGCTGCTGACAGGGGGAACTTGGCTGGCCTGGGTCATCTGGCCTGCATTGGGCAGGGGGCAGGAGAAAGTATAAGAACAGCGAGCTGTTTATCCAGGAACCCACCTGGGTCACGCCCACCTCAAACCAGGAGGTGGTCAGAGGTGAGAGAAAGCGTTTCAGGACGAAGCTAAGGAAGTTAGCCTTGCTCTCAGAGCTGCGCTTCCCTGTCTGTCAAGAGACACAGTTGCAGGGGCCAGGTCCCAGGGAGCTTAGGGCGGCTGCTTGCGCGCCACCCCTCCTGCTGTGTGGTCCCCTTCACATCAGGAACTTCTGCTTGCTTTGGCAACTCCAGAGCATGAAGCTGGCATTTGACCTTTACAACTTGGCCCTGGGGTCATGTGGACACCCACCCCCCTCCCCATCGGCCTCATCCTCCTTCCATCCCTGAGAGTCCACACCAGTCTTTCCCCACATAAGTCACCAGCCTTCCATTTGGCAGGGCAGCAGGGGCCACGGAATCGAATTTCCCAGACTAGGAATTGAGGGACATCTCGAGGCTCCTGAAGGGTGAGGGGACGGTGGCTACGTTTACTGCTTAGCGAGTCTCGCTAACTTTGTAACTTAGAGATGAAATACGATTTCCCGAGGGAAAGAGGCATGTCTCTGGATGCTGAACACGTTCTAGAGGAGCTTCTAGATTAAGATGGACTAGGAAGAAAGGCTTGGCAGTCTAAGGCTCGCCTGCTCTGATCGGCAACTGGTCACAGGGAGGGAAAAGGACCATGTATGAGGGCGCCATGAACCAGCACTGAGCTGATGGCCATTACCCAAGAGCCCCTGTGTTAGGGGTCCCAACCATCCCTTTACAAGGATTGCTGGTGGAGAATGCTTCTTATAGCTAAAAAAAATGCAATTCTTTGAGGCGTTTTTGCAGCAACATAATCTGACATGGCCAGGCCAGGCAAGCGAAGGCCCAGCACGAAGGGATGACCAGGCTAGCAGACCCAGAGGGTTCTCTGGGGTGTGATCTGAGAGAGGAGCTTCGTCGAGAGGTGGGTGAAGGGTCCGGGACATGGAGCCGGGAGTTTCATTTGGCTGTGTAGGTAAGAGAGGAGCCCTGGATCACACTGACAGGTCAGCAGTTCAAATCCACCAACCAGTGCTTGGGAGAAAGACGAGGCTGTCGGCTCCTGGAAAGATTGACAGCTTCAAAAAGCTGTTTTACCCTGTCTTCTAGGTTCGCCGTGAGTCAGAGTCGACTCGTTGGCAGTGGGCTGGGGATGCTGTAAAAGAGGGCGGAGGGAAGCGGACCCTCACCTCTTGTATGCTCATTTTATGTATTTTGACTTTTACAGAAGGCAGACATGGTGGTCTAATACCTCCATAAGGGGAGAGAGTGAACCTCAGGGCCACAGGGGAAAAGTGGCCGGAAGAGCCCAGACACCTGCACCCAGGCCACCACACCATGGGGATTCCTGCAGGGTAGGGAGGGGGTGAGAAGACACCAGGCTCTGGCAAATGTCCTTGTAGGGTAGGGAACGGAGACCCAGAGCCAGGCCACGTGCACTCACCTTGGTAGATGAGAAGATCAGAGAGTCCTGCCCCGGCCCCTGGGGTTTGACAGAGACCCTGGGACAGAGCGGTGAGGGCAGGCAGGAGCTGGACACATCCATCAGGGAGGTGCACGCAGCTGAACACGGGCCTGGAGCCAGCGGCTGCAAGAGACAAAGGTGGTGAGCCGGAGACTTCCTCTCACTCTGGGATGGTTTGATTCTGTCCAACTTCCTCTGCTCCCGACCCCCCCCCCCCCCCCCCGCCCCACCTCACACACACTAGCAGCCAATGTCTGCATCTTGCCCAGGGAAGGGTCCCTAGCACCCAGCAGAGCAGTCGGTACAGAGTGAGTACTTGGTGCTGACAGGTGAACCCCTGATTGGTAGGGGCTCCCTGTCTTATGCTTGGCAGGGCTGAGCTGCCAGGACTTGCAGATGTGACCTGCTGGGATGGAGGATCCAGTCAGCTCTGCCTCCTCAGCTGCACCCCCCGCCCCCCGCAATGCCCCCCCCCCTCCCTGGCCCTAACATACCCAGCATCAGGGCTGTCTCCTCCAGCCTGGTCAGGCGAGGCACTGGCTCCTGGCTGAGGGGAAGGGGTAACTTCTGGCAGGGTAAGGCCGTGGAGTTGACCCCTGGGCCTACCAGGAAGCTGCCGGTCACAGTGAGCCCAGCGGGAGGCTCGTCTATGGAGAAAGGGGGTGAGTGGGAGGCTGGGCAGAGATCAGGGGGAATGCCTGGAGATGCCTCCCTCCAGGGGGCTCCCCTTGGTGGAGGAAGGGCAACCCCTGCCTCCCCGGCTGTGCTTCCTAGGTCTTCATAGCCCCCTCTCCCCTACCAGCTTGGCGATCTTGAGGGGTTGGGGCTCCCTTCTCCCCCAACAGACTGAGACCTGGGAGAGCAGGGCTCCTGAGCCCTCATGGGATGAGCAGGTGGGTGGGTCCTGGGGGCCACAGACAGAAAGCTGGGGCTGGGCCAGAGTCTGAGAGTGGTCTGGGAGCTCCAGGCCCCCGCTGGGTCCCTTATGGGACCCCAAAGAAGGCAGGGACACATCGGTCCCCTATGAGAGAGGGGATCTGGGGGGGCAAGGCAGCTCCATCTAGGAGCAGAACTGGAGCTTCCTGAGCACTGGGACCACTCCTGCAGCCGCCTGGGCCTGCCTCCCCAGCACCCTGGACCCTCTGGGGGGTCACAAATCGGCCTCTTCCATCTTGCTCCAGTCTGCTCCACCTTAGCATTACAGCAGGGTGGGAGGGCATGTGGGGGAGGCAGGGGAGGAAGCATCTGGTGGGAGGAGCCGGTCAGCTTGGGGAACAGGCCGCTCACCCAGCTTCCTGTGCTTCCGGGCCACAGGCAGGTCCCCTGGGAAAGCTGTGGAGAGAATGTGGTGATCAGCACCCCAGGGAGGGGCGGCCCGAGGCTCCAGGGACCTATGGCGCTTCCAGCAGGCTACAGGGCTGGGATGTGGCCATGGGGGTGTCTCATCCCTCCCCTACCTCTGACCATCTCTGTCCTCACCCACCTCGAAGGGTCCAGCACAGACAGAAAGTCAAAGAGGCAGAGCCACCAAGGGGACACAACATGGCCAGAATTAAAAAAAAAAAAATACTGCTTTTGAATCCCTTCCCAGCTGTGTGCCTTTGCAACAGAGTTTCTCCGGTGTCACCTGTGATGTCCCCGCAGCTATGACCCAGGTGAGAGGATTCCTACTCTGCAGGGATACCCTGGGAAGCAGCAAGTGAGTATCCAGCATGTCGCACATCAGCAGGAAAGGACCCATGGTCCCTCAGCCAGGGGTGGTGCAGTGCGGGACGGCTCATTCACTGAGTGTGACACCAGATTCGTGCCGGTCTCCAGAAGAGCCAGATGCTGAGCACCCATGGGGATGTGGATAGTACCTACAGTTTGCTTTGAGAGGCAGCACTCAAAATAAGGTGGGTGGGTGAGCACTTACATGGATGGGTGGGTGAGTCGATGGAGGAATAGATGGTGGGTGGGTGGGTAAGTGGGTAGGGGAGTGGGCAGATGAATGGATGGGCGGGTGGTGGATGAATAGATAGATGGATTGGCGGTGTGTAAGTGAGTGGATGGAGATGGGCGGATGGATGGATGAGTCCATGGATGTGTCAGGAAAGGCACAGACGAGCTGAGGATGCGTGAGGCCATGCGTGTAGAAAAAGCGGTGGGGGAGGTGACATGTTAGTCAAGACCCAGACGATGAGAAAGAGGATCTTGGAGTAAGGACATCCCAGGCCGAGCCAACAGCAGGTACAGAGAGCCTGAGGCTGCAAGGGGCACGTAGCTACAGCAACGGAAAGAAGCCTGTGCGGCTGCCGTGGGACAAGAAAGCAGAGGGCAACATGTGTTGAGCGTGGAGAGCTGGGCAGGGTCAGTTCCTTCTGGACCCTGTGGGATGTGACTTTCGGGGCAGTGAAATGTGCTAGTTTCCTTTCTGGAAGCTCCAGCCGCTGCCTGATGAGGGCAGACGAAAGAGGCAAGGGAGACAGTATTGAGACTCTGGGAGGTGGGAGAACTTGCCCAAGGCCACACAGGCCACAAAAGGCAGATGCAGGATACAAAACCAGTTTGTGCTGATGTCAGAACCAGTGTTTGAAGAGTGCAACCCCAAACATAGGCGTGACAGCTAGACAAAACCGAGGGTCTGTTTGGAAATGTGATCTAAACAGCCAGGACAGAAACCCACTGGAGACTGACCATTTGTACCTGAGCCATCTGTTTCTCTCCGGGACCACTGCTTGCTGCATGCGGGGACTGAGAAGGGACAGCAGGAGCTCCTGCACCCAGGCAACATCAACCAGGCTTCATGAGGGAAGCAACTGGGAGCCACAATAGGCGTTGGAGCCAAGAAAGGGTCAGGCCCCAAGCACAGCTGAGGATGGATCAGGCAGAGGGCAGCTTACTCACGTCTCTTCTGACTTTTCTGCCCTGTTTCCACCAGTGCCTCCAGGATCTCACCGGCCACTTCTTCCGATCCCATGTGCTCTACTTCAGAGAAAGATCAATGCCCGCCATCAATGGAGATCCAAGGTAGGGGAGGAAGGGTCTGACCCCCATGGTGGGGTGGCCATTGGTATAATGGGGGTTCTCAAGGAAGAAGGAAGAAAATGCAGGCAAAGCCAAGGGAACCCCAACTTACTGAAAATGTCTTTGCTTGGGCTCTCCAGCTGGGAGTCCTGGAACACGTACTGGTCCAGATCCGCTGCCCAGACAAGGCAAAGCACAGTCCATCAGTGAAGTCTTGTTGTGAGCCTGGCTGGGACCAGGCTCCAGGGAGCTGTGGGCCCCCAGGCCTGGCACACAGTAGGGGCTCATGAAGTATTTACTGAGTGAATGAATGCTCAAATCATGAATGGATTCTGACTCTTCATGAACTCTGAATCTAGAGATGAAATGAGGCAGGCACTCATGGG